ATTTGTAATTTAGACACACATGATTAACAAAGACATTTTAAAAAAGACAATATATATTTACTACAAATAATTAACTAAACTAACTTTTTTAATATTTTCAAATTAGTCAATTAAAGCTTATATTAAGAGTAGGTAGTATGTAATATTATCGCTGATCCGGCCCCTAAAGCATCGAGGTTATTTCTAATTTTGTTTCCCCTAATGATTAACTACTGAGCAAGCTTGTGTTTCTCTTTGGGGAAGAAAATCATAATAATTGACAAATTGTACAATTCATAAAACTTAAAAGTCCGAATTAATTCAATCAACTGATCATCAGTTATATCCTTTTAGGATAATATAGAAACTTAAGCAAACATACCAAACAATTGATGAGCATAGTTTTCTTTTATCAATTAGCTAGTGGCGAGTGTTTACTACTCATAATCATCATAAGATATTGTGTGTTATATATACTATTTGCAGCAAAAGATTACAAGAAATGGAAGACTTTGATTTAATTAAAATAAATTGAGGGACAATCTTTTCCATTGCAGAAGCGAATTCTCCAACCCCAACTCCAACTGATGCTTCTTCATCAACAAATCAAGCAGCAGCTGCAGCTGCAGTACTTGCAGCAGCAGAGAAGTCCAGTAAGACACCCACACACACTCTCTCTCTTAGTTTTTATGATATATTTTCTCCATCTTTAAACAAAATAGCTTGAGAAAGATAAACTCCATGGTAGATTTCAGGGCCGTGTGCGTATATGAATCACTTCTAATATATTTTACTAGAATCAAGAGAAACCTTAAATCTTATAAACTATAACTTAAAATTTAACAACTTTCGAATTGCATTCCATTTAATATCCATTTTGCCTCATGAGTTTCCTAAAAATAAATTTAAGGGTTAAAGTATATTCAACACCTCAAAATATTTTTTCGAGTGTATCCAACATACTAAAATATTTTTTTTAGATGCGTCCAGTATCCAAAAATATTTTTTGATACATTCAGCACTAAAACAAAAAATATTTTAGGGTGCTAAATACACATGAAAAATACTTTGGATGCTGGATGCACCTCAACCCTAAATTTAATAACGTCACTGATCAATAGTATCAAAAAGCCTTCTTTCTTTGTCTAATTATAAATAAGACTAGAGAATTCCCTGTAAGAAATATACACACACACACTAATGCATTCTAAAAATATATCTAGCTATCACGGTGTCGAGTATTAATTAACATTTAGCAAAACTTAATTACTGGTTTATATCTTTGTGGATTGCCATATGCATGCTTTGTATTAATAGCTGTTTTGGTCTTATATGATTGAAGTTTCAGGCGCAAATGCCAGCCAAGATGTGCCTGCAGCCACTTCTGGTAGTGATTCAACCAAAAGAATCACGTATTTCGGTGTTGTTCTTGTAGCCTCTGCTTCATTGTTATTCATGAACTAAGTCGCTCCTTTTCTCTGCATAAATATAATTTCAGCATTGGATCAGAATCTGCTCGACAGTGGGCTTTGCTTCATAAATTTATTTCACACAGTGATTGTATATATATTATATTATATATGATTATCAAATAATAATAAAAAACTTTTATCTGTCTTGACACATTAAAAAAAAGTACACTACTGTCATTTTAGTCTCTTATTTTGCAACTGCATCCGAAGTACGTAGCTACGATTAATAATCCTTACAATCAATTACACAAGAATATTATTCTATCTTCTTGACAAGTTTTTAAGGTTATTAGCTTGATAAAACTGGCCTTTTATGTATAACTACTACTACCTTCGATCCTTAAATAAAAACTAAATAAGTAATTTGGAGATATTAAAAAACTTAATTAAGTTGGTTATTTATAACAAATATTTTTTGGCTTCCCTAAACTACCTTCTTTAATTATTTGCATTAAAACTACTCCTTAATAATAATATTTTAATACGTACAATCAATAGGAATATTTTAAAGGGAAAAGTTATAAATTTAGAAGACAAAATTGATTGATTGAAGTCTTTTTATTTATAATCAAATCTGACTCTTAACTAACTCTTACATTAAAGACTGAAGATAGTATTCGGAGGATTTATTAATAATTGTTATTTTGTTTTATCAAAATTTGCGAAACAAAGGCATGCACCCTAGACACACAGTCAACTCAACTGTGTGTTTGGAGGATAGCAAAGAGATTTTGACACTAAAATGTCAATACTTTCTTGAAAAAGGACTTCTCTTCTCGTTTAAATTTATATCTTGAAGTGAGATCGTAACATCTAAAACATGTGCTAGATACGTTACTTAAGAAAAACGTATTGTAGTGCTTGTGTGAAGACGAACATTTTCAGTTTGTGACTTTGTGTTGTCAGATTTATACTGAGAGATATTACAGAGTGATAATTGTGGTATTACCTTTAGTGCTTATTAATTTAAAAATTAGATAACTAATTTACTAACATAAAAAAATCAGTTAAGTTAATTAGTTATAACAAATGAGTATTATCTTTCTTAAAATAGTATTGTTAATTACGTACATTAAAATGAAAACCCTTTAACATGTGTAATAATGAGAACTAATTTAAAAAAAAAAAGGGATAAATATGGGAGAGATAAAGTGGATTAGATCTTATATATATATATATATATATGACTAATTTGAATCTTCAACTAACTCTTATATTTAAAACAAAAATTAATAATGCATATAAAGGGAAGTGAATTTGAAGTTCAAGCCACCACATGGGGAGACAAAAAGATATTCAGAAAATGGTACATGATGCGTTTGTAAGATTGCTTGAAAAGACCGGAAGCAATAATAAGTAGAATCAGAAAGATTTGCAGGCTCTATTATTTCCTTTCAACAATGTTCCACCTGGAGAGAGTGTCCAGCAATCTCTTATGAATATAATGAAGGTGCCACAGCAATATTGATGATCTTCCAATTCGATCTGGCGACAGATTTTGGAGATCCTTACTACTACCAAGAGAATTTCAAATGCTGTTACAACCTGAAATAGGTCTGGATCGGTACTTAATCAAAGTCGTTTTTAATGAGAAATTTGTATCTTTATAAATATGAGTACTTTTGTCATGTAAATGTTCTTACTATTAATATGTTTTTTTTCACAAGACTTAAGCACAGATTAAAATACCCCTGAATTTGTGACACATTTTTCCTAGGGCATTCACAGTTTTCACGTTACCATTTAGGTCAAATTCAAGCATTCTCAAATTCTAATTAAGAGTCTTTTATAATATTTGTTACATTCACACATATTCAAGATCTCAATGTTTAATTGGTCCGAGCTCCTTCCACTAAAATTAATACATCAACACGTTGTATTTATTTTTTCTAACTTAACCAAAAACAAGGTGATATAAAATATGGGCTTGTGATGCTTGGAACAACAACAATATTTTGATAGAATTTATCTTTCCCTCCCTCCCTCATTCTCTATATCATTAAATTTTATAGAATTTTTACTATTAAAATTTAATTTTAAAATCTTTTTACTAAAATCATAAATAAAAAATAAAAAATTTATAACAAAATATATTGTTTATAAATTATAAACAATATAATTTATTTCAAATTTTGTGATTGACAATATACTACTACTTCTAAGCCTTAATATAAGGGTTAATTGATTAATTTAAGTATATTAAAAAATTATTAAAATCAGTTATTTATAATAAATAAATATTGTTTTTCTTAAAATATCCTTGCTGATAATATGTATTAGCTAGAATTGCTATTTGATGAGATATATAACATGTGTAACTAATACAATGATTACTTTAAAAAAAAGAAGATAAATACGAGAATTAAAACAAATTAGGGTCTTATATTTAGAACCAAATTAAATGTTAGACTAACTCTCATATTAAATATTTATATTGCAACTTCTTAAATTTTTATATTATATGTATACATAAAGATGCAAAGATTATCATGTACTACTTCCCTTCCATATATATCAAGAGCTTGATAATTAATTTGGGAATATTAATATAATTATTTAAATGTATTATTTGTAATAAGTGTGTGCTGATTTCCCTAAATTATTTTTTAAAATATATTTATTGAAATTATCCCCTTATGAAATTAAAAAAAAAACTATAAATCTAACCTTTCAGGCAGCTCTTGCAAAAAACAATATTAAACCCAATGCAGCTATTTTGTGGTTATTATTATTTTTTCTGCCAGCGAATTCTTATTAATATTATTATCAAAAAAAAGACATAAAAAGAAATTAAAAATTATAATATTTCAATTCAGATACCTAAAATTACCTCCGGTCCTAATTATAAAAGCCAGCTGACTAATTTGAGGAGATTAAGGAAATATATTAAGTTAGTTATTTGTAATAAATAGGTGTTGTCTTTCATAAAATATTCTTGCTAATCAAGTTTATTAGCTAGAACTACTATTATTAGAGGGACTACCTTGAAAAAAATACATAAATATGAAAGACAAAGTGGATTAGAAATTTATAATTAAAATCAAAATAAAAGTCAAACAAAATCTTACGTTAAGAACTAGAGGTAATAGTACAAAAGCCTAATGAAGGAAGTGGCTTCTGATTTGATATTTTGTAAATATAGTCAAATAACTAAAATGTCATTGTATCATTTTTTTTTTTAAAAAAAATATCAAATTTATCATTATCAATATATTTTTTATCATTAACTGTTTAATATTTGTTATTATCACTTCACAACTTATTAATAAATAATTTGTCATTGTCGGTACATTTCTTATCATTTGTTATTCAGTACTTATCATTATCAATTCACAACTTGTTAATAAATATTTTAATATAAAGATATTTTTATCATTTAACTATATTTATAAAATAGTCGATGAGACATCACTTTGTTTCATGAAATGTTGAAGTCCTAGATCCTTGAATCAGAATATTACAATTCTAATTTCTTTTTAGTTCATTTCTCCTTATTATTATTAATTGGGCCGCAAGCTATTTTCCCGTAAACCCTCGGGGAGGAACCATAAGCCCGCTTTGCGTCGAAACGGCGGGAAATTCGTTCCGGATGACGGAGTCAAGATGGGATCAGTCTCCACTGGCAAATCGCTAGCCAGGCTTCGACGCGGCGGCGCCGGCGGGACATTATCTCATTTTCTCGCTACTAAGTGGGTTGCATACGCATCGCCGATTTCGTCCTCCTCCTATTCTTTCAGCTCCGCCGCTTCCGTTGCCTCTTCATCTGGTTTTCAACCATCGCCGCCTTCTTCTGAAATAGAAGGTATGTGCGCTGGTTCATCCGAGTGATTCTCTACATGCGCTTAACATTGCATTTTGCCATGCTGAGTTTGTTTGCTTGCAGAGCGTGTCAGAATTTTAAATTTCTTCGCTTATTGGTGCTTTTATTTGTGAAAGGGAAATCCTCTAGGTGGTCAAAATGGTTTCTATTCCTACCTGGAGCGATCACATTTGGTCTTGGAACTTGGCAGATTTTCAGAAGACAAGAGAAGGTGTGGACTCAGTAAACTTATAATCTCTTCTCTATCATGAAAATTTCAAGTTCATTTAGTTGTTTACTCGTTCTATGACTATCCGCAGCAACGTCATAGAAGTGAATGGTGATCTGATGTCTTGCATTGAATTCATGATTGTTCTAGTTTTACTTTTCAATCAGTAGTTCTAAAGCGAATGGCTTACAGATGTTAGAAGCTTGCAAAATGTTCAGAACTAACGGAGATGTAGAAAAAAAAGATGGAGTGTGTAGAAAAATTGTAAGTGGAATTTATACATAATTACATATTCCTACTCCATGTGTCAAACCGTTCTGTCACCCCAACGAGGCGCTTTAATTTGAAAGGATCCAAATTCGAACCAGGACAAGCATCGTATAGATAAGCTTGTGACCTAAGCATGGTTTTGGGGCTGACATTTTGTACGAATAATTATTGGTTGTTCGTTGGTCTGAAATTTTAGACTTATCTATGTATTGATTTATTCCAGCTCTCCATTTATAATTCAGGCCCTATAAATTGTAATTTCATCTGCACACACATCAGGAATATTCAGCTCAATGTCACATATTTATTCTGGTTCAAAGGGATTCATAGGCTCATGTTGTGGATTATGCCTTTTTCAGTTCAAATGTCTTGGAGGAATCCATTAAATGATACTATAAGTTTTGAACATTATATGTTTAAAAACTTGCTAAATATTACAGAATGGATTTCTGGATGAATACCTTCCACTTTTGAAGTTTAATTTTCACGAAGTTATAAGATTCCAGATTCCATGTCTTAATATTGGCTAAGCAAATTAGCAAACTGAAAATGAGTCTCCTCAACCATTGGTAATAGATAAAATGTTGGACTATCGAGAGAAGAGACTGCAGATGGAGCCTTTAAAATTCAGCAGTGCATCTCCATCTGCTGAAGAATTGGATTCTCTAGAATTCAGGAAGGCGGTCTGCAAAGGAGTTTATGATGATAAAAAATCAATCTTTGTGGGTCCACGTTCGAGAAGTATTTCAGGAGTGACTGAAAATGGCTACTATCTTATAACACCTCTTATGCCGGCTCCCAGTTGTCCAGACAGGTACGGCTTTTGTATTGTATATTTAACAAGTTGTTTGGTTTTTAAAATAGACTGGAATGGAAAGGAAATAAAATTTTAAAAAATGGTTTCATAGATGAGAAATATCGTCTGTACCTCTGGGAAAAAAAATTTAATGGGAAAGTAACTGATCACAAAATCTTTACAAAATTGATAAATATTGATTATTGAAACGCACGCTCACATAGCATTTAGCTGTACTTTTAAATTGAAGTAAAATGTTGCTGATTCTGCTCAATGGGTAGGTTTGGACTTCTAGAACAGTTCGATTTTAAAAATATGGTAATTTTACACAATACCTTATAATGGATCGTGTGCTAATCAGCACCATTACAGCATGGATTAGAATGCAAATATAACTTAACTAATGGACAGGTTTAGGAAATTGGTATTATTGATAATCTGGATTCCCATGCCTTTGTAATCATATCATCATATATGGAGAATTCTCACGCGAAAAATATTTAAATTTGACTGTTCATATAAGAAGTACAATAACTAACTTTTCTTTAGACTATAACATTTTTGAAACATGTGGTTGCAAATTGCACTTATCCTGAATAACCTTTAAGCTTTTGCTTCTATTGAAAAATTATTCAGATAATTAGATTTGTCTTCTTGTTCTCATTTCATCAACAAGAAACATGCATGCAAACCCACTGTCCCAGTTTAAATGTCTTCAATCTTTTCTAGCACCTGAACTGTAATTCATAATATTTGATGAGGCTTTATTTGTCAGCCGTAGTTTCATTGACAACCTGTCCATATTAAGATATTTTTATTTCGGCAAAGAAGAATCGATCATTTCTTTGTCTTGCTACCTACTGTATTCATTGAAGTGATTCTATTTTTGTACGTTGTTTAATTTTCTTTCAGCGTGAGTTTTCCAGTAATAGTCAACAGAGGATGGGTTCCACGCAGTTGGAGAGATAAGTTTGTTGAAGCTTCTCAAGATGGTGAGCAGTCTTCAGAACGACTCCCCTCTCCATCGCAGGCTGGTGGAACAAAATCCTGGTGGAGATTTTGGTCTAGAAAACCTGATATCACTGAGGTGTTGTCATCATTCTGGATCTAGATCATCTTTTGTTACATGACAGTATCTTAGGAATGAGAAAGACAATATTTTTGGAGAATTATGCCTAAGGACCAAATTTAGAAATCTTATTCATTATATTACTAAGGATCACTAATTGTAAATACTCATTTCCACCTGTAAATTAGTGTTGTTCGAGTTGTATTTCATCATGTGAATGGTAAATATTTGTAGTTTGATTGGTAAATGTGCATTACGTGACTGATAAATTTGAAGGTCTTCTTAATAATTAATTTGTGAATTTGGTCATTCAGTGTAATTCTTCCTAATATTTTAAAACTGAACTTTAAATGTTTTGTTTTATGCCTTCTCCACTCTCCTCCCATAACTGTCCTGTTACCTGATATGACTTGAATTGCTGCACGCCATGTATTGTTTGGTGCAACATGCAGGATCATTCCCCTCCTGTCACACCCGTAGAAGTAATCGGAGTAGTTCGTGAAAGTGAGAAACCAAGTATTTTTGTTCCAGCAAATGATCCTGAGTCTTCCCAATGGTTCTATGTTGATGTTCCAGGCATTGCCCGTGCTTGTGGACTCCCAGAAAACACTATCTATCTTGAAGATATTAATGAAAATATCAATCCAAGTAATCCTTACCCTATCCCAAAGGATGTCAACACTTTGATTCGAAGTTCAGTCATGCCTAGAGACCACCTCAATTATACAATGACATGGTATGCAACATTTTTCTCTTTGCCGAATGGATGAATTCGTTGTGTTTAATTGAAGTTTATTGCTCTGACGATATTGAAGTTAACCATTGTTTTAATGTTGGTGCCTTTCCTTGTTTTACTTAAGCCGATGATTGCTTTTTTGGGGTTGACTATAGCATCAGTTATAGTACTGGCTTTTATAATCTTGGCAGACAAGATCGTAGGTTGTTTTGAATTGACAACGAAATATTATGTAATTGAAATTAGCTAAGTTAAAATTGGGTATCAGTAGTAGTATCCTGCTGAATCGCTGCTAAGGAATTTTTGTATTGTCAAGGTTGTGTAGATTGTTAGTGATCTTAACTGGAGCATTATCAGCTGTTAAATTTGGTCTGAAACCAAAAAGTGAAGAAAGTATGCCTGTGCAGTAAGAAATCCTTTGGCACTCTTTAGGAGGACCCTGATAGGAAGAATAGAAATTGTGCCATGCAAAGCTTGTATCTCTCATTCTTTTTGGTTTTTCTCTTGGTTTAAAACATCATTGCTAGGAAGCAGGGTGTGCATCTTCCATTGGAAGATCAAGCCTTATGGTTTTTCAGTGATTAGTCAAGCAGTATAGCAGATCATGGCATTATTGTTATTTCCCTTCGGACTTGTTTTCTTTCCTGTCGTGTGCTCTTCTTAAGCCACCATATTATACATCATCTAGTATTGCTTCAGATTTTTCTTCGAATAAAAATTGCTTTGGGGAACACTTCCGCCAAAAAGGGGTCTCAAGATAGTAAAACCTTTTCTGTTGGTATTAATTCTGCTTGAATTTAATTATGTCTAAATTGCAGTTAACCTAATTTGTTAGCAAGCGTACTGCTTCCAATAATGAGCGGCTGATTAGTACACAGATTAGAATTTCATTAGTTTAAACTGCGGTAACTAACAATAATGGAATCAATATCTGAAATTCGGATATTGAAGGTGTGGCCATAGGAAAAATACTTGTTCTGTGAAGTATTGGACAATGGGTTGAGTTTTCAGAAGTTGAATTTTAGCACATAGTTCTAAGAAGTTCCATCCTTCCATTTTAAGCATTTAGAACTCTATCACTGAACATAATTTCAAGCCGCTTTGTGTGCTCCATTTTTTCCCCTTGCCTCTAGGCCATAACAATTTCCTGTGTTGATTTTATTCTTCTCTGCCTGGGATGGCTGTATTTCCTTTTATCTCTGGGTTTCACCTAATTGTGAGTTTTAATTTATAACGGAATTAAAAATTTTGACACAAAGAAATAGCTTGGAAGTAAGAGACAGTTGAAACGTCTCCGCTAAACTAAATCTCTTGTTATGAAATCCCTTAATGTCTTTGACTCTGTCATTTCCGTTGTCATCTTTTAATTTTATTTTTATTATTATTATTTATTATTATTATTATTATTTATAGTTTCAGAAGTATGACAGTGTTTGGTTTTATCTGACATGTAATGGAGTTTTTCTCTTTGTCATGCATCTCATGACACAAATCTTTAGGATTTTTTTCCCTTGTGCTTGCTGTGTTCTGTGATCACATGGGAATTTTTATATCCGTTCTGGTGAGGCATTCTCATTAGAATGTAGGGGTCCAAAGTACCTTCTAACCATTATAATTTTTTTTCTCTGGATGGGGGAGCAGGTATTCTCTTTCTGCAGCTGTTACATTTATGGCATTTAAGAGACTGAGGCAGAAAAATAAGCGGAGATAACAAAATCGTCACTGCGCATTTCCCAGTAATATGGCATGGTGCATACATCTCCATTCATGTTTTCGCGCTTAAAGTCAGATCTTAACTGAACGGGAATTATTTCCATCTAAGTTCGGTTCAAATGATATCTTCTCAGCCTAGGGTATGGCTCTCGCCCTAAATGATGATAAGATTATGTTTCTTGACACTTATGTTTTACTTAACGATGAGGTGGATGGCGATTAAATTGTTCAGCGGCAACCAAGCCAATTTTCCATCTGAAAATAAAGTATTGTTACTTGTTTTGAGAGGACAAAGTATTAAAAGTAGGAGGTAGCTGAGGAAGTGAGTAGTTGAATCAGTCCCAATCTCAATACTTGATGTTCAATTTTTTTTTCCTATTAAGTTTTGTTCAAACTGAGCTCTTAACATGTCCAGGGTTTGTCAATGGTCATTTTTGGCCATTCCCCTTGCCAGCTGAGTTCAGTGACCTATTTGTGCTGTGCTTACATGATTATGTTTTGTTTTCCCCGTTGGCATGGGATATCATTCTTGTTTCATTGGCTGTGCCTGTCCTTCATTGATGTGGGAATTTTAATTGAGCAGGCTTCGTATGGCACTGCTAAGAGGCGGAAAATTTTATAGGTAATTTTGGAACATTCCAAAAAACATACTTTCATTTTAAGTTGAATCTTCGGTAGCGGTAGAAGTGTAAATTCTGTGGCATGAATCATAGCTAAAGATCTTAAATTTAATGGGAAAATTCACAGGAAAGAAATAGTCACCAAGAAAATTACCGAGAACTCATTATCACATGCTGCTGGCTTATAAAACTTCTATAATTATACTCTTAGATTGAAATGTATCCAGCATCTTGAATTATATTTCCCAGTACATCCAGTCCTGCATTCTAAATTATTTTGAAGCATAAAATTACATTAAAAAATATTTTAAGATACTGAATCTACCTGAAAAAATAATTTATAGTGCTAGAAAATATTTTAGGCACGTTAGAAAATGCTTTCAGCACTCTTCCTTAAAATCTCATAATTATTTACCCCACATTAATTTGCACTGTTGGTCATCGTCCGTTATTTATTTTCAGCATATTGCTGATTTCAACCATAATCGATTTTAACAAGTTTCCAGGACAAATGGTTACTTCTAAGTTAACATAACTCTATCCGCGCTTAAACTCCATTGGATGCAGCCACCCCCAGCTTATGTGACAAAAATGTAGCAGGGTATAAATAAATATCAAAGATCAAAACTCTGCTTTTTTTTTTTGTAAAAACATATAATGGGATCATCAAAATAACTTGGATCCTTGCACGCAGGGCTGTGCAAAAAAAACCCAAAACCTGGTTTGCTCGGTCTGACCGCAACAACCCGGTCCCCCCTGGTCTGAAAAAAGCTGCCTGGAAAAAAAGAAAAAAAAAAAGACTAGGCCAATCGGGTTAGACTAGAAAACCGGGCAAGATTGAGTTTAGGACTAATGCTTCGAACCATTTGGTCTGACCTGGTCCAGGTAGAATTTTTTTTTTTTTTGCCCTCCTTATTTTTTCACCTATGCCATGATTCCTTTCTATCCTCCTCTTCCTTTGGCCTCCTCTTCCTTCAACTTGTCGCCGCTATTCCTCTTGACTATCGATCTTCCCTCTACTCTCATCTCTCCATATTCACTCAAACTTCGGTGTTAGCGTCAACTTCGCCTCTTTTGTACCCTACATTTCCACTTAGGCTCTAGTGTCGCTACTTGTTAGTCTTTCCCATTCTCCACTTAAGTTTTGGCGTTTCAGCTTCTTCACTCTCTTGGTGATAATTGACCCCATCCTTCTCCATTTTCACTTATAAGTTCAAATTTCACATAGATTTCATATTCATTTTTCAAGTTATCAGACTTTGATTATATCTTGGATAATTTTCATGCTCTTCTATGATAGGTCTGTAGGGGTGGTTTTTGAGACTAAACTCCATTGTTGGTGGTGGTGGAAGAGAGTGAGTGTTGGGAGAAGGGAAGATGAAGATGGGTTCGAAATAGTTTGATGATTGTTGTTCCGTGAACTTGAAGATGGGTTCTTGAGTGTTCACTATTCACCATTCAAATTAGGGAAAAAGGATGAGGGCGTGATGCGCAGAGAAGGAAAAAATTGCATTTTAAAGTATATATTTTTATCAAAAAATTTAAAGTTTTTAAATTTTAAAGGAAAAAATTCACCATTCAAAAAATATTTTTATCAAACCATTTTATTTTATTAGAATATAATATGGAAAAATCGGAAAAGAAAATGGGTCTACGCCTTTGTATGTATGAGGGGAAAAAATGACAGCCCAGATCCAAATCCAGAGTTTTTTGTATAATCCTTTTTTTTTTAAAGGAAGGAGCAAAGTTTGGTGGACTGGTCGAGTAACCCGACAGACCAAGTCCAACCCGGTCTTGGTCTCGAGTTCTTCAATCAGACTGGACAGGACCTTAGACCAAATATTTCAACCTGGTCATTTTTCAATCAGACTTCAGACTGATGCCAAACCAAGTCTTTGAGCAGCCCTGCTTGCACCTTAGGACATAGGAGTGATAAATGTTAAGCACGAGAGGCGGCAGCTAGATCCCTCAAAATATAAAGAATACTAGACTCAGTTACCACGAAAATAAAGAACCCGAGTACAGGAAAAAATTACAAATAGCTGGTAATTAGGGATGTACTTCTTGCTCGCCAAATTAGAGGCCAATATTCAAAGAAACAATTGTAACATTCCACAAAGATTGCGATCTTCCTCTTCAATAAATTGGACCAAAAGGAGAGGGGAAGAGGTTAAAGAGCAAGACAAAAATTTGCTGTTTGTACTGTACAACTCTGTACACTGCAATAAATCAAAGAATGACAGCTACGCAGATACAAATTAAAGAATAAAAGGAAAGCAAGCTAGGATCAACTCAACACACCAAGCAACCAACCAAAACATTCAACTTACAGAAAAAGCAAAAAGAAAACTGAAATCAAAAGAATGAAATGAATATGAAACAACAATAAGCAAAAAAGCTTTATGATGTACATCTTACTACCAAAGTAGAGCCCATTTTTTCTCCATGGATTGCCTTCAACAACGACACAAACTTCAACAAATTATCTCTAGAGAACCACTGAAGCTTCAATTTAATAGATCTTGAAATCTGATTTCTGTCATTCACAACATGAAGGTTAGCGTGGGTAGATTGGTGGAATTCTGACATTAGACGTTCCAGAACTAATGTCACGCAGAAGCGCTCTTTAACATCAATAACCTGGAATTAGTCAACATTATGTCATTAAATCATAAATTCCCAGAAAAATGATAGAAGAGTAAGAAGAAAGAACAGGGAAAACACCATACCAAGGAGAGGCGTGACCACGGATGGAGCCAGAAAAAAGTACAGGGGAAAAATCAGAGTTTCTAAATATTTTGACTATAATTTTTTGGGGACAACAGTGTAACATAAGCCTATATATATAGATAGGCCAACAAATTTTTGGGGGGGTTGCCAGTACCTAGCTCCATCCTTGGGTGTGACCAAAGGAAGATGTTTCTTTTTTTTTTTTTCTATTTCATTTCCTTTCCCTTTTTTTCCAAATAAAGTACTTAACATTTCATTTTATGCTCGTTTTCTGCCCTGAGAATAAGCCCCAAGACATCAAGAATTCAAACCCGGTAGATGTGTGCATTTTAGTGGGTATTTTCTACGTTAAGAACTTCTAAAAGAAAGGCACATGCCTAAATAAATTCAAGGATATTGTGAATTTTAAATCAATTTCACTCCCGAAGCCTACAAAGGCCTCCTGCAATGTCCATAAATTGCTATCTGCAGTAAGTTTTATTACTGAAGCAAATTTGTATACCTGAAGAATGACCTAATTTAAACATGCCAATTTACCAGTTTGACTGAAGAATAAGGGAGATAGAGGGAAAAAAGAAGTGCTGACATTTACCCCACTCAGACAAAGATTCAAAGCACTTATAAATGTAGCCAATACTGTTAAGGAATAACAGAACTTACTGCCTCACAAATGTCAGTAATTAGGCAACAAGAGTCAATTCTGAAATACGGTGATAGAGATGAATCTGAGGAAAATAAGCAGAATTGGGTCACATCCTCAATGCACAAAAGCACATATCCCCCAGTCACAAACAGTGATCTTGAAAGCCATGATTCGTCTGAAGGATAAACAAGTAACAAAAGGTCACCTACTCACCTTTACGTTTGTACACTAATAAGCATGTTTTTACATTGAATTTTTCCATTTGAAGTGACACCATAAGTTTAAACAAATATTTTCAGATCTTGTACTGGTACCACTAAAAACCCGCATAGTATCTAATACCTTTGAGAGGCATTGCTTATATAGCACTCGGAGAACCATGGTTTACCTTACCATAACCATGCACTCACAGTAAATCAATTCCCGCAAGGATATTATTAACACAGTAGTTTATAACGAGAGTGAAGCATTGCTCTAGACAGACATCTAAAAACACAATCTATTTCTCAAATCGGTGTTTTAAACTAGCTTCTAGAAAGTTCCCTTAACATCAGTTTTTAGAGTTCTAGATAAGTTAGTCTTCTGGAAGTTTGGGGTTAAAGTTAACAATATAAAAACCAATAAAGATATACATTGCCAGTAGCATAAAAAGAAAACAAAGCTATAATTTGAAAAGCTTGGAAAAGTAAGCATACCTTTGCCGTTGTTACAACAAGCAAGCACCATTGCATACTGATAAATGCTCAAATTGGAACCACCACATATCTGGTTGTCAAACAATTCAACCTGAACCTGCTCCAAACTGCCATTTATATTTCCAAAACCCAACTCTATATTAAAGCAGGAAAATAATTGACACCAAAAAAAAAAAAAAGGTAAAATCTATAGCACATCTTTCAGTGAAATCCAAATTAATTCAATACAAATTTGTGTACAAAGTTTTTATTTCAGTTATTTGGACAAAAATATAGGCACACAATCTCAGGTTCGGCGCCAAAAGGTATAGGGCACTACATATATCACCTTCTCATTGAGCATCTATCATTTTCTTCACAAGAACCAGAAAGTTGCAAGGTCTCTAGTAGCTCTCTTGACCTCTGTATGCTCCTTGTAATGAAAAGGTATGTTTCACCACTTTCAAAATTCACCCTGCCAAATCAGTAACATACACTTCAAATGCCATACATTTAAAAAAAATGAACAGTTCTTTAGTTCTTTTGAGCACACAAAGTCACAAACCTTAACACCTGAAGTCCCATCCCAACAAGCACCTCACAAACTTCTTCTGCCTTGTGGCAACTCAATAAACTCAGATGACTTCCTGAACAGCATCAAAAAATGCAGTGCTTAATTGTCTAAGCATGTGAAATATGGATGAGATGTTGATTTTACTAATTTTATGGAAGGTCTGATATGCAGAGAAATGGAATTTGGACTTCTACGTTTAACTCCACTCAACTCCTGTGCCTCAACTAAATCTCCTCCTTAAGAAATCTGAACATGCTTTTAAAGTCTCTAAAGACATTCGAATGAAGATGTGAACT